AAAGGAGACGTTGATCTATGTGTTTAATTATTACTTTTTATACATGGATACATAGATTGAATATGCATCTAGTTCTTCTACACCTTAGTGTGCTACCCATCTTGACATATAGTGGTTTTTCCTGATATTGACTACAAACATGTCCTTATCTTGTCATCTCTAGTACATGATGGGCAGGGCAATTGATATTTTACAGAAGATAGATAGGAAGAAAGATATCTTTGGTGCAGGTCATAGGACGTGACAAGGGCATTGCATTTCTGGCAAGATCGATAGGTACTATATTTTCTATACCTATTGAAAATGTTCTTAGATTGAAAAAAAAGAAGGAAAACTAATGCATCCACCAAATCTAAAGACTACAAGCTGAAATAAGTTACATTTTTATTTCTGAGTTTAGTTATTCTTTATGCATAGCATCAAATACCAAAAATGCTTCCCTTGGTAGCATGTCATAAATCCCACATCCAGTCTTACTACAGCTATAGTATTTTATTAAAGAAGACGTAAGCCTTTACTGGAAGACATTTGGTTTGCTAAAATCTGTATCATAAACAACTGTCATTTTTTCTTCTCAGGACAAACTTTTCCAAACTTGATTCACTCTCGAGGAAGACAATGGCAGCAATGGTGGAACATGTCTGCACAATGAGGCCACTTATAGCTATCACTGGAAGCACATGTGACAGAGTAACGATGAAAGAGAGAAAATGAGAGACCCCAATGATGGTTGCCTGGAATTTCTCAGGGTAGGTTTCTGATGGTGAACAGTGGAACATGCTGGTATAATATTTTGAAACTGCTGCTTGTAGTCTCTATTGGAAGACTGGGTGACAACACAAGATCAAAATTGGGAGAAAGGGAAAGAGCCTTGTCACCCAATAACAGGGAGTGCCTGAACTTGGACCTTTTATTACTTTATTTTATTGCAACACATTTGTATTGGAAAAAGATCACAAGTTTCAACAAGATATGGGAAAACATATTACACCAAAAAAAGGCAAACGTGACAAATAGTATAATTACTCAAAAAATACAGTTTAGGAGGTCACAACCGTTTCTCCTGCCATCATACCATCAGATGAGGCCAACAGAGACCAGGAATTAGGTACCTTAGGAACATTGAAAATAATGCAAATAAATCTACATTAACATGTTAAAGATTATATGAGTTCTAAGCCCGTGTCTTCTCTATAATCTCAACTAATTTCATTGTCCACTCCTAGGATAGCTTCATTATATAGTAAATGGCATATGGACATTCCATCCCTTCATCACTGTCTGAAGATGATTGGGAGGATTGTCTTCTCCAATTCGTCTCCACTATGATCTTTGCCAATTAAGGCATATCCACCATGTTTATTACACCCCCCCCCCAGAGATTAGCCATAATATACCTCAAGGGATCCGTTGCATGCCTTAGATGTGAGACTGACACTGGATCTCACCTGCATATTTTCTGGTCATGCCCTAAGTTACAGCAATTTTGGAGAGGTGTGGTAGACAATATTAAAGGATAAGTTCACCTTTTAACAAAAAATAATACATGAACATTTTTTATTTTTTGTTTGTGGAGCCTCTAAAGCATTGCACCAGCAAACAGCAGATTGCTGGTGCCATGCAAGTCTCCCCCTGACCTGTCAGTATATCTGTGAAGTAAAACAAGAAGAAGCGCACCAACCTTGCGCATTACCTCAGTAACCAAATTTATTTATTTAGTAAAAGAATGGTACTCACAAACAGCGAATAAAAAAAACAGGCATGTAAGTCCTCCCAGGGACTTCAAAGTCAAGCTCTGAGGAAGAAGGCATGACCTTCGAAATGCGTCAACTGTACTGAGTGTCCACCCCCATGATGGGATTCGCGCTGGCCTCTTGCCTTTGCAGTCCCTGGGAGGACTTACATGCCTGTTTTTATTCGCTGTTTGTGAGTCTTCTCACATCTACCCTACCACTCCCTTTTTTCCCATTCCTTTCATACTCCCTTCCCCCCTTTTTGCTTCTCCTTCTGCCATATCCTAGGATGTGTGATTTGTCATGCTGTATTATTTGGGATAATGAATTGTATTCTTTTGTACTATTGACTGTTCCAGCAGCTTTGTAATCTGGTGAATGGTTTATTTGGAACTACGTATTATTAATTACTATACTTGACATGCTCTATTGTGCTGAATTATTGTCTTGCTCAAAGTGTACCTTTGCTTTTTGTACTATTGTACAAATGTAATACTGATAAAAAAAGGTTATATGAGATTTTCAGTGTAGGCCTATGAATGACATACTTTGATGTCAAGTAATGGGAGCTGTCCATGTTGAAAGCTATACCGAATTTCGCTCCCTCACCATATGTATACAGCAGATCAACCCCTCAAACTTTTAGGCTCAGAAACATTGTAAATCAATTGGGCCAATGCAAAATTCTAATCAGTGGAAGCATTAGGGTCATTAAAAGTTATTTCAACAGATGCTGACATTGTACAGGCTTCCAACGCGTAATGGTCAACGTCAGTCACAATTGATATTCCTGTTTTGTGTAGCTGAATCAGTTGCTGGTTTCTCTAATATCTCTGGCATTCTAGTTGTGCGAGAGGACCATTAGATTTCTCAGTTTTGCTCAGCTTCTGCTGCTATTCTTCATAAACGTAGAGTGAAATAATTGGGATGGCTATTTGTGAAAAAGCAATGCCTACATTATATCCCTACAGGATAGACGCAATCTGGAGCCCCAGAAAGTTTTATAACCATCTAAGAGCAAATTGTGCACCTACCACCCGTTTGCTGTTACATGACCCTCCTGGCAGTGGAAACCGGTGAGCCACTGCTTTTGTCCAGTCCCAATGCTGACTGGTCTTGTTGCCTTTTCTCATTGGGGGTTATTTACTAAAAAACAGAGCGTGAAAAAAATCTGGTGCAGCTCTGCATAGAAACCAATCAGCTTCCAGGTTTTGTTACCAAAGCCTAATTGAACAAGCAGAAGTTAGAAGCTGGTTGACTGCCATGCACAGCTGCACCAGATCCTGAGTGCACCAGTTTTATTAAACTACCCCACTGTGTCACTCTGATGCTAAGAGTCTTCAAGCCCCTGTGAGGACCCCACTGATGGGCATCCAATGAGAAACACAAACATCTTCAGGCAATGACATGGGCACCTGAAGGAGTACCCTCTGCAGTTTAGAAAATAGAAGAATCAGAGAAACAAGTGACCAAGACCATGGATTTAGGTAGGTAATTGGGTTAATTCAGATTTTCTTTTAACCACCTCTCACCCGCCATATAAGGTAATGATTAGAGATGAGCGAATCGAACCAGGCGAACCGGAATTCGAGTCGAATTTCAGGAAATATTCGATTCGCGTCGAATCCGAAATTTTGCCTACTTCGGGTGCGCGAATCGAATATTTCCCGATCAGCCAGCAAAAGTGTCCCTGCAGTGAGCTCCGCTATTTCTGACAGTTCTCTGACAGAAGGAACACATGTTTAGCGGTTGAAACATTGTATCTATTAGTTTCCATTTAGGATACAGATGTTTCAACCGCTGTACATGTGAAGAAGCTGTCAGAGAACTGTCAGAAATAGAGGAACTCTGCACATACACTTTTTGCCGGCTTGGAATTAATCTTATTTTCATCCTACTTCTTCTTCTCATCCTCATCCTCAGAAGAAGAAGAAGAGGATGATGAGGATGAGGATGAAGAAGAAGAAGAAGAAGAAGTAGGATGAAAATAAGGATAATTCCAAGCCGGCAAAAAGTGTATGTGCAGAGTTCCTCTATTCTGCAGATACACTTAGAGGAGCTCTGCACATACACTTTTTGCCGGCTTGGAATTAATCTTATTTTCATCCTACTTCTTCTTCTTCTTCTTCTTCTTCTTCTTCTCATCCTCATCCTCATCCTCAGAATAAGAAGAAGAGGATGAGGATGAAGAAGAAGTAGGATGAAAATAAGAATAATTCCAAGCCGGCAAAAAGTGTATGTGCAGAGCTCCTCTAAGTGTATCTGCAGAGCTCCTCTAAGTGTATCTGCAGAATAGAGGAACTCTGCACATACACTTTTTGCCGGAAACCGCTGTATGGAGGGAATGTCCCAGAACTGTCAGAAATAGACTATTTATGACAGTTCTGGGACATTCCTCCATACAGCGGTTGAAATGTATGGAGTGAATGTCCCATAACTGTCAGAAATAGACTATTTCTGACAGTTCTGGGACATTCACTCCATACAGCGGTTGAAACATTGTATCTATTTTTTTCCATAAATGACATTCTGCAGATACACTTAGAGGAGCTCTGCAGATACACTTTTTGCCAGCTTGGAATTAATCTTATTTTCATCCTACTTCTTCTTCATCTTCTTCTTCTTCATCCTCATAAGAAGAAGAAGAGGATGAGGATGAAGAAGAAGAAGAAGAAGAAGTAGGATGAAAATAAGAATAATTCCAAGCCGGCAAAAAGTGTATCTGCAGCGCTCCTCTAAGTGTATCTGCAGAATGTCATTTATGGAAAAAAATAGATACAATGTTTCAACCGCTGTATGGAGTGAATGTCCCATAACTGTCAGAAATAGACTATTTATGACAGTTCTGGGACATTCACTCCATACAGCGGTTGAAACCGCTGTATGGAGGGAATGTCATAGAACTGTCAAATAGACTATTTATGACAGTTCTGGGACACTCACTCCATACAGCGGTTGAAACATTGTATCTATTTGTTTCCATTTGTTTTCATCTCCAAGGGCATTTAAATTAAAGGTACAGTGTTCTGCACTAATTTAAAGGCTCTCTGAAGCCTAGAAACCCTTTTAATAAGTTAAATTCGTAGCGAATTAATTCGCATCGAATCGAATTTCATACTGGAATTCGCCGAATCAGCCGAATCGAATTTTTGAGAAATTCGCTCATCTCTAGTAATGATGGGCGCAAGGCGGAACTTTCGCTTTGGGAGGACGTCATATAACCTCCTCCTACTCTAACCGCACGTGCGCGTATCCGGGATCGCGCAACGTGGTGATCGGTGGTGCGCTGTGTCCGAGATCAACGGAAAGAGCTGAAGATGTCGGCTCGGTCATGTGATCAGCTGTGTCCAATCACAGCTGAGCGCATGTAAATAGGGAAATGCCGGTTATCAGTATGTCTCTCCTAGCTGTCACGCTGACAGCTTGTGAGGAGAGAATCCTCAGATGGGACATGTACACTGATCATCAGGGCACTGATGATCAGTGTAGCCCCAGCAGTGCCACCTGTCAGTGCCCATCAATGCCAGCTGTCTGTGCTCATCAATGCCACCTGCCAGTGCCCATCAGTGCCTCATCAATGCCACATATCAGTGCCTACCATGCACATCAATGCCACATATCAGTGCCCATCTGAGCTGCCTTTAAGTGTCACCTATCAGTGCCAGTCAGTGCCACCTATCAATGCCAGTCAGTGCAACCTATCAGTGCCACCTATCAATGCCAGTCAGTGCCACCTATCAGTGCCAGTCAGTGCCGCCTATCAATGCCAGTCAGTGCCGCCTATCAGTGCCTCCTAACAGTGCATGTCAGTGCTGCCTATCAGTGCCACCTATCAAGGCCATATATGAGTGCTGCCTTTTAGTGTCCATCAGTGATGCCTGTCAATGCCCATCAGTGAAACCTACTAGTGCCTCCTCATCAGTGCCCATCAATGCCACCTATCAGTGCCCATCAGTGCAGCCTATCAGTGCCCATCACTGCAGCCTCATTAGCGCACATCAGTGAAGGAGAAAAATCACTTATCTACAAAATTTTATAACAAAAACTAAGAAAAAACATGTTTTTTTTTCAAACGTTTCAGTTGTTTTAGGTTTGTTTAGCAAAAAAAAAAAAACCAAGATGTGATTAAATACCACCAAAAGAAAGCTCTGTCTCAAAAAAATTATAAAAATTTCATATGGGTACAGTGTTGCATGACCACGCAATTCTCATTCAAAGTGCGACAGCGCTGTAAGCTGAAAACTGGCCTGGGCAGAAAGGAGGTATACGTTCCCTGTAGGCAAGGGGTTAAAATATACTGGGGTATTAGATAGAAAGTTGCTGCATGTAACGTTTATTGGGGCTGGGTCTCCCATAGGAGTTGAGCTTTAAGAGTGACTTAGCCAGTTAGTGCTTACTCAGTTCTGGGTGGAATTGACATGGGCTTCTGAAGAAGTAACCTGTACAATTTAGAAAATAGAATAATCAGGGGAACAAGTGACCAAGACCATGGATTTAGGTGCAGTAAGTAAATGGGGCAATTCACATTTTCTTTTACATATACTGAGGTGTTAGATAGAAGGGAGCTGGATGTAAAGTTTGTTGGGGCTGGGCCTCTAGTAGGAGTTGAGCTTTAAGGCTTCATTCACACTTGAGCGTTTTGTAGCTCGAATCTCGAAGCTCCAAAAATGCTAAAACTTAAAAAATCAGTTGTCCTCTATTGTGCCTGTTTGTGAGATCAGATGTGAACAGGCACTATAGAGAACAAATTATTTTTTTAAGTTTGAGCTTTTTTGTAGCTTCGAGCTTCAAGTTTCAAAACTCTCAAGTGTGAATGCAGCCTAAGAGTGACTTAGCCTGTCAGTGTTAAGTCACTAAGCTCTAGGTGGTATTGACCTTTAATTAAATGTTCTTTTCAAAACACATGTGCCAAAATACCATTCTGGCAGCTACATTGGCACTAGCAATCACTATTCTACTGTCAGCTGTAGAAAAGTGTACAACCAGGTCCACGGTTCAACGGAACGGCGAGAATGGCAGTCACATCAGCATATGGGCATCGTTACATCTGTGGGAAGACAGTTACACCACGGGTAGGATTTTAGCCTAATTTGCAGTCGTGTATGCCATGCAGGACACCGTGCCTAATTATACATGATGGCTTCTTGGAGTATTGAAATGCTTTCATGAAAAATAAGCCTAGATCAATGAGCAGGGATAAAATGCAGTGTCCAATTAAGCATAGCTTGACACGTCCAAATTAGTCAAAAAGAAACGGCGTCTTTTGTATTTTTCCAGCAACGTAGTTAACGCTATGGAAAGTTATTCTCTGCGATGCGCATGGTGAATGCGAAAGCCATTTAAATTAATCCAAACGAAAATTCAGATGCCTTTCATATCTTTCCCTTATTAATTTATGCCACGAAGGGGATGAAGAAGTTGGTTAAAACAAATGTTTTCAGAACAGAAAAAAAGAGAAAAACACATACACCCGTATGTCTCAGAGAAGAAAATCTGCAATTCAAAGTCTGCCATGTTTATGCGAAGTCAAACTTCAAGGTAATATTTTTTATCATTTACTTTTTTTTAACCAATAAAATATACCTATAAAAACATATGCATAATATTCCTGCACTTTAAGCTGTAGCATGTGATATGCAGACATTATCTAAATACGAAAGGCTTGAAATCTTGGGGTGCTTTTTGTATTTCTTCAAGATCTGTTCATTAATCCAGCATTAAACTTAACCTATGTACAGGAGCTTCCTGAAATAAAGACCGGTCACTGTTGCTCTGTCTCCTTTGGCAGGATGACTGGTCTTGTCTCCGCCCCCCCTCCCTATCTAAATACGAAAGGCTTGTGTATGCTTGAATCTTGGGGTGCTTTTTGTATTTTTCAAGATCTGTTCATTAATCCAGCATTAAACTTAACCTCTGTACAGAAGCTTCCTGAAATAAAGACCGGTCACTGTTGCTCTGTCTCCGTGGCAGGACTGACTGTATTGTCTCCGCCCCCTCCCTATCTAAATACAAAAGGCTTGTGTATGCTTGAATCTTGGGGTGCTTTTTGTATTTCTTCAAGATCTGTTCATTAATCCAGCATTAAACTTAACCTTTGTACAGGAGCTTCCTGAAATAAAGACTGGTCACTGTTGCTCTGTCTCCTTTGGCAGGATGACTGGTCTTGTCTCTGCCCCCATCTAAATACGAAAGGCTTGTGTATGCTTGAATCTTGGGGTGCTTTTTGTATTTCTTGTCTCAGCCCCCTCCTGTAGATTTCTGCAGGCAGCCTATAGTGGGTGGGGCCTGCTTGGTCCCTCCAACAGCTTTGCTCTCTGTACAGGCTAGGTACTGTACACTGATGATGTCACTGCTACTTTTACAAAGTGATATCTCGGTTTGCAAATGAATTTGGTGCACACAACATGGGTTTATATTCTTACTGGTTATTAAAGAATATATTTTGAATTAAAGTTTTTGTGCCAAGAGTTCAGCTTTAGAGTTCATCTACAGGCTCGTGTATGACAGTCTAACCAAACCCTGTCCCAGTTACTATATGATGCTTCATAAAGTTAAAAAAAAAAAAAACTTCCTTTACCTTCATCTTGAATGAGCCAAATCCCCTTTCATTTGTTTCACACAAGGAATGGCGCAGGTAGGGATACAGCTAAGATACAACATAATCATACATGTGAATGTGCTTTGGGGGTGTAGGATTATACTAAATAGTCCATAGGTCCAAATACATTCATATCAGCTTCTCAATGAACCGGATATCGTATGTACTCTCCAGCGCCTCAGGATATGCACAGCCAAAAGGGAAGCCAAGGGTACCAGGACAGCGACAACCAAATGAAATGTTCTAGGGGTGCAGCCCTCCTCAGACGGGGAAATCAGCCACTGGATAGAGAGAAAAAACAGGTGGCGCACACACCTAGTGCATTATCCAAGGTTTATTGTAGGAATGAAATAATAAAAACACATATATACATGTGTATATATGTATGTATATGCGTTTATAAAAACTACAAAAGATTGCACTTTAAATAACCCCCTCCAACCCCTCATCTTATAACAAGTAGAGGAGGTTGAGCTTTGCTCCCAAGGCATCTAGCCCTGGTTATTTACTACTTGACCTCCATACAGGTTGGTCATCAGCTCTGAGGAAAGGGATTCGTCCCCGAAACGCGTCAGCCATTTGACCGCACTGACAGTGAGAACACCTTGCCCGCCGTTGTGGTCATTGTCATTTTTCTATGCTTTTTAGATACATGCTTCGTCTGTGAGTATGTTTTTATTATTTCATTCCTACAATAAACCTTGGATAATGCACTAGGTGTGTGCGCCACCTGTTTTTTCTCTCTATCCAGCTTCTCAATGAGACTGATGTGATCGCTGCGATATATAAAGGAAACAACAGAGGGCGCTAAGTGTGGTATATAGGAAAAGACTATTAAAAATAACAAGTGGCAACTCACAAGATGCATATTGATAACAGCAGGTAATCCACCCAGTGTGACTTGCTGTTGAGCCGCTGCTCCTGAAGACACACTGAAGCTCAACAGCAAACTGCATTGGGTGGACTACATGCTCATATCTTTATGCATCTTGTGAGTTGGCACTTGATTTTTTTCTTTTCTTATACTGCACTTGACAGGCATAGCCTTAATGTGAGTGGCAACTCTGCTCTGAATTCAGGAGCAGTGTAGCAGCGTTGTCACCTCATCACAGGAAGCTGCATTAGGTGGACTTCACTGGCAGGAACTATAGGTATTTGTGAGACTTTACATGTAGACGAAGGAAAGACAACATACAGTTAAAGCTGCAACACATATTCATTTTTTAACGAGAGACCATAATTCTACTGTAATCATTTTCACAGAATTCTAGAAGCAGCGCCGTGACTGCCATTTATTTATCTAAGAAGATGACATGTTTGGTCAGAAGCCCTCGTCTCTATTCAGCCCTGTAGGACACGAGATGAAAGCAGTTTCAAAAAGAAGCGTTCATTTCAAGTCTACAGTAAGATGATGAAGCGCTCCGTGTTATTCCTGGTGGGAATTGCATGTTAATTCGGCACAGCTGGATTCACACAGATATTTGGCACACATGTACAGTGATGAAAGACATTACATTAAACAATACCTGCACACATTTAATCTCTGTGTCTTGGCAGAAGTCTCCGTCTGGGGACAACATCATTTGTAAGACAAAACTGCAAGAATGAACATCGCCTTAAAGGAGTAGTCCACTTAAAAATGTTCTGTGCCCCAACCATTCAAAGGATCAGCCAGGTACTTCCTTGGTTAAAGTGGACCTTACATAAAAATGCAAGTTCTGTATTTGGGAAGTTCCACCCCGAAATAAAAAAAAACCCTTATTAAAGATTATTTAACACCCTCGTAGATAGACTGCTAGGTTTGGTTAGGCAAATTTAGCTCTTTGGCTCTCCTGTAATCAGCAGCGCAGTATGTGATTGCCTTAGGCTGCTCCAGGTTCTGCAGGCTGCAAGTTTGCTTCCCCCTATTTTTTGGAGACTTCTAGAATATAGTGGGTGGGAGAGTCAAATAAGCAGCCTGAATATTTATGCAGCTCCAGCCAATTCCTGGGGATGTGTGCCCAGAAGGTGATTGGGGAGTGCATAAATAGCTTGGAACCCCAGAGGGAAGGCTGCCAGCCTTTTCTGGTAGGCCTGCTTGTCTCATCGAGGTCCCCGCTGTGCTTAGCTGGGGAGCCTATCCTGTTTGGAAGTCCAAAGAGAGGTTTCATTGAGA